AAAAAAAAAAATAAACTTAAAATATGATATAAACATGTGTTTAAATATAAAATTATTAAAAAATATTTAAAAATTTCTATCTTTCTAATATCAATTGATTTTCTTATCAATATGTAATTATAATAATTAATTAAATTAGAGATGAATAATTAAGCTAACTTATCAGATAATTTTTTTGGAGGTATATTTAAATCAATTTAGTTACATTCACATACATATTAAATATTTAAGACTTAAATTTAAAATCTCTTATTTGATAATCAAAATTCTCAATCAATAAATCAGAATGAACAGTATTATCGGAGTATTATCGGACAATAAGAATCATAGAATTGAATGGTGATGCATTTAGGCTTCGTTTGGGACGGCTTTTATATTGCTTTTTAAAACGGAGTTGTAGTACAAATTTTTAAATTTTTGTACTAAAACTCCGTTTTCAGAAGTAATAAAAAGACGTCCCAAACGAAGCCTTATATTAATTTAAACAAGACGGGCACGACATGATTTCTTAATTGAAACTGGTAATGTTATTGATTCTTCTTGTGAGAAAATTATGGGATGTGAGAATGCTAATATTGCGACTAAAACCGATGTTTTACCTTCTGTTGAGTCTCCGACTTTTTCCCCTGGTGCTAAGGGTGATGCTGGTGTCTTTATGTCGGTGGCTGCTGATATTACTTTGTCTCATAATGCTAGTCCTTTTATTCCTTCTAGTGTGGTGAAGGGTTTGGGTCCTAAAGATGTGATTGAGGAAATTTCGGATGCTGTTCTGGTGTCGAAAGTGGTTTCTGATTCTGTTAATGTTGCGATTTCTCCTCCCGAGTGTGGAAGGGGGGATGAGGTTTCGCCTGTTTTGGATATTATGGAGGATTGTGGTAGGCCGATGGTTAGTGTGGGTAATGTGGAATCAAATGTGTGTGGCTTGGTTGTTAATTCGGGTGTGCAAGAAATTTTGGATAATTTGGTTAATGTTCCTGTAACAGTGAGTGGTACTTCTGGACTTGATATTAAATTCAGGGTGATTGGTTGCACAATTCGTCTGACTTTGGATCTGATTCTGAGTCCTATTCAGATCCGGGTAATGAATTTAAATTGAACCGTGATGTACCTCTTAAGGTAACCTCTCGTGGAAAATATTGGAAGAGAGGTGGCAAAATAAGATAATTCGCTTTCATCCTTGTTTGGCTCTTTCGGTTATTCTATTTTCATCATGGTTTGGATTGAAGGTTGCGGGGCGATGATGTTGCTGGGGCTCGTGTTTGCGTTGGCTTCTTTGTGGCAACCTTTGGTGATTTCCACCTTTGCTGGACGGTCCTGGTGCTCTCGTGGACGCTGGCAGTCTCGGCATTCTACTGAGCCCTCTTTGCGGGTTTTTATTGTGTCTGTTTCTTGTTATTGGTTTTCTTTGCTGTCTGATTTCCCTTCTTCAACTGTTGTAACCTCGTTTTATCAATTTTAATATAAAAGTTTTATTTAAAAAAAAAAAGACGGGCACGACATGATCTTAAATGCTGAGTTGGCATCTTCAGTAGCCAACTTACAAGACGGCCAAAATTAATCTATCCTATCTGATAAAGATTTATTCTTCAACGTTCTAACTTTTTGATATTTTGCGTTCTGAGATTTTAAAAGTTAGAAGCATAAAGAAGAACGTTGGAAGAAAATGACAATCTATTTTGACTCGCCTGATTGGACCGTTGAAGATATTTTCGAGAAAAATAAGGATTGGTCCTCTTTTATATTTGTTAGTTTATGCAACGTAACTTTAATGATAAGATTTTGCAACTCTCCTAAAAAACATAAGTTTTTAAAAAGAAAATAAATTATTTGTTTATGCTAAGGGCATATATGTAATTTATTATTTTCGATCCACCATTCATCTACTTTGATATACATATAATTTAGAGTACAGTCAGCTGAAAATATATCAAATCAACAAATAAAAATGTTCATACAAATCAAATATCTGATTTTTTTTCTTGTATTGTTGGGTTATAATTAGAGATATAAACGAGTCTAGTCAAGTAATATTCTTATTGAACTCAAGCTCATTTACTAAGCTGGGACTAGGCTCTTTAAAAAATTTATGGCTCGAGCTTAGCTCAATTACTTGATCTTGTTTGAAAAGCTCGAGCTTAACTTGATTGCTGAGCTCTATTTCTTAATTTTAATTTTTTTATTTTTATTTTAATATAAAATAAATTTAAAAAGATTTAAATATATTATATAAAGCTAATTTAAATTAATTTTTATATACATTTTAACTTAATTGAGCACCACAATGAGTTTACAAGATGAGTTAGGCTTAATTCGATCTCAAGCTCATTAAATATATATACGAGCTCAAATATAGACTTGAGCTCATTAATGAAATTGAGCTCGAGTCGGTTTAGCTCACTTGTACCCCTACTTGTAAACTTTTGTTCTTCACAGAGTGTGCGCTTTATATATAATCAAACTTGATTGTAATAAATTATTAATTTTCGTCTTAAAATTCTGATCATGGTGTAAATACATCAAAATTTACCTGACAGTGTAGTAAAATAAAAATGTATAATATATATATGTTCTTAGATAGTTAATGTGAAAATCTAAAAATAAAAGTGAAATATGTTAACTATATGTTTTGATGCAAGAAAATTTTCTTATGCTAAAAATTTGTACGTATATAGTATTTTAATTAGTTTCTTACTAATTGAGGATTTAAAGAGAGATCCTATGACAATGGGCCTCCGCCTAATGATGATATGAGCAAATTTGGTAGCAAGTGCAAATATATTTTTACCTCTACTATTTATAAGAAAAAAAAAGCAAACATAAAAATATATTATCATTATTTTGAAGAGGAAAGAACAATGTGCAAATAGCAACACTGATCAGGAGAAGTAATTTTTAGATGTAATTGATGTTGTATTGACCTTATTCTAATATTGGCATTACTCTTTTAGTAATTGCACATATATGTAAAGAGTAATCTCTTGTATTTTATTTTGAAGTTTATTTATCATGTATGAGCCACATTATGACAGTTGCATTTACATATGAAATATAGGCTTCGTTTGGGACGGCTTTTTTATTGCTTTCTAAAACGGAGTTTTAGTACAAAAATAAAAAATTCTGCTGCTACCCGCGACCACGCCCCACAGTGCGACCCCGCGCCGCCATGACCCGCTCCGCGCGACCACTCCGCGCAATCCCGCTGCCACCGCGACCATGCCCCACTGCGCGACCCCGCGTGCAACACTGCCCGCGCTCGCCCAATGCAATCAGTTTTTCCGGGTCTGGTCGTGTCGACCCGGCAACCCGCCAGGTCGGGTCCGGGTTCACATTTCCGACCCGTTTACCTAACCGGGTCGGGTTAGGGTCATCCCGTTTGAACACGGGTCAATTCCGGGTCCGACCCGTGACCCGAAATTGACACCCCTAGTTCTGATAATGTAAAATTATGTACGCAATAGTATGGTCGTTTCAATAGGTAGAGTTGTATGTGTATCAAACTTGTTAGAGAATGAAATATTCTTAATTTTTCTCACTGATGTAGGACATAGTTTCACTAATAATGATTATGCTCTTAAGATTTTTAGGGGTGTTTTAGTTATTCTTAAGGAAAAAAAAAAGTTGATGAAGTCTATATTGTAAAGTGCACTATAGAATAAGATGATTATGCAACCATTGGGTTGTGCAATTTTTCATGATACTAAATCATAATTAATATTACAATATTCCATGTGAGATAGCTACTTGTGATGTATAATAATTAGATGCACGATTTGGATCAATGGTACGTGTAGAGTTAGAATTATGCTATAATTTTTTTTTTATATAGATTTATGTTATACATATTTCTCTTAGTTACTTAGCACATATAACATTTAAGCCAAATAAGATAATGATCAATTCGGAGAAGATAAATCACATAAACGATCAATTTATTTTTCAAAGTAGTAAGTTAAAAAGGAGATTTATTCTACATTGATTCTGTCTATACATGAATTACATAATGTGGTGGGTATCAATTTTTTTCTGTGAAAATTTTTAAATGATCTACATAAATTAGGCAGCATATTGAGTTGGTAGTTATGAGCTAATGTATGAAATGCTAGCATGAAAATACAATGCAATTTTGAATTTTTGTGAAGGAGCTGATAGAGAAAATACAAAGGATGCAAGTTCATTTTCAAGAGCTCTTAGTATCAAATCCATGAATTTATAAAATTATTTCATACAACTTCTAAAATGAGTAATAGTTTAGCATTTATTTGATCTTTTTTTTTTTTAATCTCGTCTACCTATTTTATGTTGCTCATATGAGGAGAGTTTAGATTTCAGATTTTTGTATTTTGTTTATTGAGCACACGACTATTATTTTATTATACAGCACAATTTTAATTAGTTAGTAGCTCAAATTCTCTAATCTAGTCTCAATATAAGCTTACTAAAATTGATTCACATAATTTTTTATTTTCTTTTTTTAATATTTGATCATCATAAACTTCCTATGTATATTGTTCTTTTGACAACTAAAACAAAATGCTAGTTTGGTTATTCTCTCTTGATATTAGTGCAATGTTTGGGATTTTTTTTTTTTACTTCTTCATAAAGTAGCTTTTTATTTAAAAAATATAAATTTCTGTACTAGAAAATTACTTTAATAAGCAACAAAAAAGTCGTCCAAAATGAAACCCAGTTCATAATAATAATGTATTATTACAAATACAATATAATGTCACACAAAATTATTTATATAATGAAAAAAAATTGTTGACTTCATTCACACAAAATATTCGAAACAAATTATATTGGCATATACTATTTACACAAAATTGAATCCAAATATAAAAATTTTTATTTAAAAATTAAATATATTTATAAACTGCAAACTAAATAACATTAACAAATAATAACTATTCTTCTTTCTTAAAATAAATTAAACATTATATAACTTATATTGAATATATTTTAATTTTGAAAAAATATCATTCCATGTTGATAGGCTTTGCATACTTTATTTACTAAAATATGTATAATATATAAATATATTTATCTTCCAAAGAGAGTATCGCAAAAACATAAGAAAGAACCCACCCAAAGAGACTATTTCCCATAATCACATTTAAAACAAACCAGCAAGCATCCTCCTCCCCCTCGTTTCTCTCTCTCTCTCTCTCTCTCTCTCTCTCTCTCTCTCTCTACCCCCTTCGCCCTCAGACATTCTGATATTTCTTCTCTCATGCTACTCTCTTCAGCATTCCAAGTTCATGTAGTGGCCCCTACTCCAAGAAAATCAATGAAAGTTGGTGATGAAGCCATGGATGCCACCATATGCCCACGGCCTTCTTCTTCTTTTCTATTTACCTGACCAGTATTTTCTCCACCCTCTCCTGATGATGATGAAGCTGTCATCGCGAACAAGTTCGATTCTTGATGACAGTAAAAGCTGTGTAAGGCTTCATTATGATCACTCTGCCCTTCCCAAGTCCTCGTAATGAACTTTTTTGTCTTATCTCCGTTTCTGGGGCTTTGGCCTGCAAGGCTTTGCGTGAGTTTCTAAGTTGAATGATGACTTGCCTTTAATTAATTAATGAAGTAGCAAATGAACTTTAGAGCCACAGGTGTCTTTCGAGTTATTAAGGACAGCTTCAGTCCAAATTTTCAGTGCTTTTGGTAGGTCTCTAGGATCTGATAAGCCAAGGATGAGTTCAGGTTTTTTTTTTTTGGTGGGACATGTGGATCAATTAATTCAAATTAATACACAGCTTCACATATATAAGACTTAAATCTAAGACTTTTTGATTGATAACCAAAAAATTATCAAGGAACTGTATAATTAAATTGATCAGTGGTGAGTCCTGAAATATTTGTGGCGGTAGAGAAGTATAAATCCAAATGTCTTAGTTTTGTATGAAGATCCAACACACATACAGATAAATAGAGAAGGTGCATCATTTATAAGAGACATCAAGATTTTTAGGTGGAAAACCCTGGAAATGGGAAAAAACCACGTTTGAATGAATCCACTAATATTTGCAGTTGATTACAAAAGAGGCCCTTCATTTGGGAGAAGGCCTTGACTTAATGTAACAATTAGGGTGTCTCTAGATTTTATTAACTGGTTGACTACTTTGGAACTATATGTATAATTATTTGTTAATACAAATAGATATTTTTATTTAGAAATATTTAAGAAATGTAGCATTAAAATTTGTAATCATTCTATCAATTTTTTTTTAAAATTATTAGATAAAAATATATGAAAAAAAAATTAGAATGCCAATTTGTGTTTATGTTTTCCATTTTTCATATTTGAAATCAGAAAAGACCATTCTAACACAGATATATGTATTGAGCTAAAGTTACAGATGGAACAATGCACGTAATGGAAGTCAGGGAAAATAATAAAAAAGAAAAAAAATGGATGATTAAATTTGAATCAATGGATCTAAAAATTGCAAAATATACTTCTAATTAATTTTTTTCGTATTATATTTGTTTCAAAATAAATTCAGATATTTTGATAACCAATCTCTTCAATATTTTCACCCAATTTTTTTCCATAAAAAACCATCAATAATGAAAAACCCAGCAAAAAGAAACAAACAAAATCAGTGGCGTTATGGAAATAATGGTAGAAGAGGCAGTGTTGCTAGAAGAAGAAAAGTAAGAATAAAGGAAAACATACCGGAAAGGAAATCAAGGGGTTTTTCCTTTGTATGGCTCCCAAAGTGGGCTGAGAAACTGTTCTTTCCACCATTTGGCAAGAGATGAGGAGAAAAAGAACTGTAATCAACAATGGAGGAAGAGAAGGAGAAGGGATGATTAGGAGTAATTTCTTCAACCCTTCTGTCAATGGCTTGGCTTAGCTTCCTCCTCCTGTAAGCATTGGACTGCTCTCTATACTTCCTTGCCATGATAACATGCCAGTGATTCTTCACAGAATTATCAGTTCTACCAGGAAATAGCCTTGCAATCATAGCCCATTTGTTCCCATAGAGTCTATGAGCAGCCATGAGCTTTTCCTCCTCTTCTTCTGTGAAAGCACTTCTATTTATCGTTGGATCTAGTTGGTTGAACCATCGGAGTCTACAGCTCTTACCTAAAAAAAAAAACACAAAAAATGAAGAACTGGTTTACAATTATTCAGTAGTAATTATGTTTAATTTCTTGCAAATAGTTTACCTGATCTGCCTTCTAGTTTTTCTGCTATGAGATTCCAGTTCTGAGGGCCATAAATTGAAACAAGAGCTTTGAGCTTGGAGTCTTCTTCAGGTCTCCAGTGGCCTCTGGCGCAGAGACTGGACTGCCCAGTGCTTTCATTTAAATTCTCTTCCTCGGCATCAGCTCTGTTGTGATTTTCTGCAAGCACTTCATTTGTGTCTGAGTTTCCCATAAAGGGAAAGAATTTGTGGGTTGAGAGAGAGCAAGAAGGATTGTTGGGGACGGAGACCATTTGAGAAAAGAAGGATTTTGAAGAGGAAGGAGAGGGGGAATTGGCTTCTTCTTGTGCTTTAGCTTCAATATATCTATTTGCCATGCCATTATCTGTGGAACTAAAGTGCTGTGGAGCCATTCTTATAAAGAGAAATGGGAAAATATGTAGTAAGAGATAATGAAAGTGAAAAAGAGAGTTTGTTTCTCCCTCACAGAAAGCTATAGAAGTCTTCTTCTCTTGCCCTTTAACTTGTCTAACTTCTCACACTCTCTCTATGCACGTGTGTGGCGTCGACCTACATGTGTGAGTGGTCTCTCTCTCTCTTACCGCACAATTTATCTGGGAAAAAATAAAAATACGAACACGATAACACATGCACAGTCTCGCTCAGCCCCGCGCTCTCTCCGTCTCTCTCTCTCCATTTTGTCAAAAGTACCGCACTTTAGTGTCGGCTAGCGTGAGCCCTGAAGAGGCCCAACAGCAACTTTCTTTTCAAATGACTTGAGAAGGGTGAAAATTGGGCTTCTTCAGTTCAACTACCGTAAACATATCAAAATTTAATGCTCCTTACATTTATGCTATTTTGTCAAAATAGATAACTTTAATATTTTTAAATAAATAATGAGTAATGAGTGTGCTATTTTGCCTATTTTTTTGTGCGTTGAGAGCCAAATTACAATGATAATAATACGCGCATAAGCTCATTGTCTTATACTTTTAGTAGAACTCATATCATATAAGATAGGAGCCTAAGCATCAAACACCAAGTAATAAGGCATATGACATATTTTATAGATCATATTAGTGATAAAATGCTTACATAGTTTGAACAAATGTAATAAACTACTAATATATTTTATTTTTTATAAAGAGTTCTTGATATATAATATGCCAAACCAATGTCAATATATTATTGACAAATATGATTGAAGATGGCATGAGTATGGGCAAGAGTGTTTAAATCTCAAAAGTGTAGATCGCTTTTAATTGATTATATATATTTTGTTAGAACATATATTAATATATTCACATCAGAACAATCAATTTTGATAGTCTATGAGTTAAAAAATATTATTTGCGAGCTCAGCTCAGCATCTATTTCTTTTAGAGAGAATCTAAAGTTCATTGAATAATTCTAACAAACAACTTCAATTTCACCTAACAAAACTGAAAGTGAGGAGAAGGAAAACAACCAAAGGATTTGCAAAACCATTTTAGACCATTTTAGATAATTTGAAATTAGCTAGCAACCCAATTTTAAGAGAAACAAACAATTATATTTAAGAGGAGAAAGGAGGACCTAAATAGTGAGCTAATATATATTTCTTCACATAATGCGAGTCAATCATGTAATATCACATTATATAATTTGAGCTAGGTAGGATGCAAAAAAGAGAGAAAACCTTAAAACATCACTATATAGGGTAATTTCCAAGAGCTCGATGGCTTGCTCTGTGTGGTTAAATATACTTAGTCAGAAGAATGGTGGTGGCGTGGATTGTCAAATCATGATGATGACTACATCCTTTTCATCGTTCACTACGAATATTTGATAAATGTATTAAATATAAACGTTTATAAGTAGCAAATTTAATTCATTTTTAAAATAAATTTACTAATTTTCTTTCTGTGACATAGCAATATGTAAAGGGAACATATTCATGCCAATAGGGATATTCAAAAGAACATACGAAGAAAGGATAATTATATTATATCGTTAGGATGCATGGCTTTAGCTTATAAATCAAGAGCAATAGAGTTGCAAGAAAAAAAATATAAAGTTATACTTGATTGGGGTGTCAATATTTGACACGACCCGAAATCCTGACTCGATCCGATCGAAAATCTTCGGATTCAGGTGATCAACTCGTTTGAAAAACTTTGTGGGTTCGAGTTTCTAACCCTTGCTCGATTATAAATTTGAATTGGTTTAGATTAACCTAAAAACCTAAAATCAACCCCCTAACCCGCGCATGACCTCTGTCATGCATAACACACTCTCGCTCGCCTGTCTAGCGGCCTCACTTCTTGTTGCTCTTGCGGACACCAGCACGGGCTCGCCCGCACACCCTTTCGCCCACTCTCGATCCACAGAACGCTCACATTTGTGGTTATCCTAATAGCCCCGCTTGCTCGTCGAGCAAATGGTTACCCTTGCCCAGGTCAGCAAGCCGTGTCGGGCATACCCGGATTCGAATCTGGCCGGGTTCACATCTACTTTTGTGACCCATTATTCTAATCGCGTCAAATTTTGGAAAAAACAGTTGATGGCGAGTCAATTTCGAGTTGGACATGAACCCAACCAAAAAACCCATTTTTACATCCCTAACATTTGATACTATTTTAAAAAAAAAATATGTAAGAGCATTATAATCTTGCTTTATTGAGAAGATCAAGAAGTTGTTTAGCTATCATAGTGATGTTAATGTCGATACATGGATAAAGACTGCAAGCAACTCACTAAAAGGCTGAGTTTATAAGTAAACACTCAATGACAATTATTTTGAGCTTAACATGACTACTCATTGTTTGTGCATAGATGAATTACTTGGGAATTGATCTTTTTTATGACATTTAAATCATCAGAAGAGGCAGCTTAAGTGAACATAAAGAAATTGCTTAAAGATGTGCTTGATTATTTCTTTGATGGTCTAGTGCCACATATTTTAGCATGTAATAGCATGTGTGGGCCCAACTCACCTCTAAAAACACTTATGAGGATGAAGTTGAGCTTTGGTAAATTATGCATATGTGATAGTAATAATAATATATTATAATTTAGTACTTGGGTTTGTAGTCTTGTTAGTGTTGTGTTCAAATGTATTTTAATTTAAAATGTTAAATTGCAGTTATGATATTATCTTCTTTCTTTGCGATAAAAATGCTTGCATTGAATAGATTTGTAATAAAATTGATGACTTACAATAAATTACGATCTAACTTGTAAAGAAATAATAGTGTTGATATCAGCTAACAACCTCAGAAAGCCTCAGAAAGTCTGAAGAAATAAGAAAAATGCGAGAAAGCTATTGCTAACAATGGAAAATGTTCCCAATAGAAGATTGATTGTTCTGGCATTTCTTTCTTAGGGTTTTATGGCTTTGATACAAGCATAGTTATGAAAACGTTTTCGATACATTTTCATTGTTAGCAAATTCTTTGTCGTGCAATCAAATGTTTCAAAGGAATATTTATTTCGTCTAGCTGATTTGAGCAAATAATTGTATTAATGTACATATTAACCAAATATGAGATATATAACAACAACATCAAGCATTTGTCCCACTATGTGGGTGTCATGATTATTAAACAAGTTTTAACCAAATATGAAATATGTAAGAAGAAAAAATGTAAGAGACTATGATGATAGAGTTCAATTTAATTTATTGGTTGGGAGTTTCTGCTATCAATTAATTGGTCTTATATTTGAAGCTTGCATATGTGATGTGTGTGTGTGACTTTGCTTTCATAGTCCTAAATGGATAATTACTTCAACCTTAAAATAGAAATACAACTCAACAAAATTTTATTCTTTAAAGTCATAAACTTCTTAAAAATGCAATGCTCAACCTAAAATTAGAAGAGAGAAAAGTAAATACAGTCAAACAAAGGCTCAAAATAAGAAAACTACCATCTATGTGAATAAAAAATATTTTGATCTTAGATTGTTCGGTTTTCTCGTGGTTGCCATAAGGCTAATCAAGAGAGAAAAAAGATAATCAAGTGATGTATCATGCATGATTGAAGCCAACATTCTACGTAATGCAAACTAAACGCTAAACTATTAAATTTTATTAGCAATTTATCACCATGTTGTGATTTACATTTTTTAAAGATAAAAAAAAATTATCTTAAATATAGGTTCAAACATATATTTAGAAGCTAATGTAATGTCTAAGAAGAAAAATGCTAAGAAATTTCTAAGCCAAATAGCAGACCGTTTCGTAGTCTCTGAAAAGGTCGAAACAAGCACTACTCTTAGTAAACTTGTTTCAATGCGGTATAAAGGCAAAGAGAATATAAGAGAATACATTATGGAAATGTTTAATCTTGTTACAAGACTAAGATCATTAAAGTTAGAATTGTCTGATGACATTCTTGTGCATTTAGTCTTAATATCTCTTCATGCACAATTCAGTCCTTTTAAGATAAGTTACAATACTCAAAAGGAAAAATGGACACTTAATGAGCTCATTGCTTAGTGTGTGTAAGAGGAACAAAATATTCGCTTCCTACAACATCGTATCTCATGTTAATTATATGTATCTTTATTTTGATTTAAGTAGGAGGAAATAATTATTTTATTTTAAATTAAATTTTCAGCCTATTAAACCTATTAACTTACTAGAAAACTACTAAACCTCTCAACTAATTTTTCAGCCTGTTGAACTGTTAATAAGCTCTTTAAAAACCTCTCCTAAATGCAGCAATGAGATGGTAAGAGGACAACATAGACCAAAATTCATTCAACGATATATCTGTATGTTACCCATTTCCATATAAGGAAAGTATTTGCATTGGTTACCTATTCCAGAAAATACATGTTTAAAAGGTTAGCCTATTAGAGGATATTCATTTTATTATTTTTATATATTTCTCCCGAGAAGAAAACTGCTTACGACTGTGGAAAAATCAGTAGCAGCAGAAGTCCGAATTAATTATCTGGGTTGTGAACAGTTTTCAGCAGAAATGTACTCTCATTGCAGCAAAAAGATAATTAAAAGAATTCGCCTTTGCTTCTAACGAGGAAACATATGTGATTGATTATTTTTACTGTTTTTATTTGAAAAAAAAAATAATTTATAACAAGAAACAATTTGTTTAACTGATTTTATTTTTAAATAAATTGGTCAGTTTGTAAAAATAGAGTGATACATTTAACTTATTTTTAAATATTTATATTGAAAATGGAAAATAAAAATATTTTAAGCAGAGATTAATAAATTAAAAATAAACCAAAATCAAATACGGAGCACTGTTACAGTAATTTGAATGAAATATACAACTCATTTGAACTACCAGCAAATACATGCATTAAGCCATAGTAAAACGGTAAAACAGACGATATTTTAAGAAACAATGAGAAGGTTAGAGAAAAAAGAGATCATTTTCGTCATATTTTGAGCAAATATCAGCTCATAAGCAGAGCAAAGCAAGGGAAAAAATGGATTTTTACTGTGAATTTTGTTTTCTTTTTCTT